ACACCCACACCCACACCCCACACCCACCCACACCCACACCCACATCCACCCACACCCACACCCACCCACACCCACACCCCACACCCACCCACTCCCTTTTAATGACTTAAATGACAAAGATCAAAATAATATAAATCGTAGAAATTCAATCGCATCAGATAAAGATGCATCAACAAGATCAAATATAGAAAATAAGAAAAAAAATAAAAAATTTAATCGTAGAAATTAACATATTTTTCGAAGTAATTCATCAATTGATGAAAATATTTGAATTAATACTTTTATCATATCTCATACACATTAAATTTTATTAAATTTATTTTAAAATGATCGTTTTTCAGAATTACTTTCAACAATATTTATCTCTATGAAATTAGCTTTAAGTTTTATTTCTAAACAAAATTTATGCAAAAAATTTGCAAGAAATATTTAATTATCTTAAATCAACATTAAATAATAATAATAATAATAAAATAAAAACTATTCAATATCTATAAGAGATTATTGTTTTTAAATAGAGAATGTTTTCTTTTAAAGAGAGTTTCAATTATCAGAACTAATAAACTTTTTTATTTATCGATTGAGTTTTTATCTTTCGGATATTCCCTTGAATATCAAAATTCTCTATGGACAAAACTTTAAACGAATATCTTACTATTAAGATTGGATGAAAGAGTCTAACATAGAGAAGAAATATTTCAATAGAAAAATGTCATTGAAAAAGAAAAAGTGTTTTTGCTAATGTTTAATGTATCATTTATCTTGATTTAATTCTAACGTTAACATAATAATGATAACTCAACTGATTTACCTCAACCATCTCTGTGATAGACTATTACCAAAATTCTATGTTAGGATAGAATTTTCAAAACAAATCTCAATACCTATTTTTTCTCTTAACAGAACATTCATTTAATTATATCCTACAAGTTTTATGCTTCCATATCAATAAGTTAATGGTCTTCAAAGCAAAAGAAACGTTGAACATCATGCAAACTGTATATCACATGTGTCTCATTAATATGCCTTTAAGTCATTAGAATTAAACAGTCTCATACGAATTGCAGTAACATCTTTATTTTAGTTCCTCTCACATAAGTTCTCTGAATCTATCTCATTTAATTTTGTTTTCATAAAAACGTTCATCAATCAGCAGTCATTTCATCATTTTCATATGAGTCTTCACAGTGATTGATGAATTATTCTTTAACTATTATTCATACAATCATTATTTGACAATCAATGATTTATTTGTTTTCTTCATGTCACGCATCAACTAGAAATTGTCATACGAGACCAAAATAAACAAAAAAAACAAATTCGATCTATTCTTGTTTTTATAGTTTTCATTTAACTAAAGATAACTCTTAGAAAATATGATAATATAAATGAATGTCATTTTCCTGCTGTTCTATTCGATTTCCTTGTACATTAATTTTAATTCATGTTTATTATTGTTTATTAAATGCCGATGAAGTTGATTCTCTCTCTCTGTCTTTTATTTCTAAATATCATTTACTTACACATAAAATTAATCAATTTCAAATAATTTGAAGCAACTATTTCAGATTATGCTCTATGATTATATTTCACTTATCGTTGGGTCGAATTTCTTTCTATATTATTATATAATAGATTTTATTGAAAATAAATTATTAAAGTAAAATATTTAATAAAACATTATGATGAATTATTAACAAGTAGAAATGAATTGGAAATACATAACGAATAAAAGAAAAGAAAATATCTTTCCAAGAAAAACAAATTATCGTTAAAATTCGTTTAGTGTAGGTTTAGCACCATCAGAAACAATTCTATAGAATTTAGTTTTTGTTCGACTTAATATAGATAATCAATAATTTGAAGCACAATAAATGTTTATTGTTCAAACACTACTTTAACCTGTTCGATATAAAAAATTAATGTTTTTTTAGAATGAATAGTCACTTTACGAAAAATTAAAACTGCTAAAAAGTTTTATTAAATAATAATGAACAAAGAATATCTTTTGATGAGATGTAAGTTATTATTGAAACTCAAAATCTGAAAATTAGTGTAAGTGACAGAAATACTTTCTTCCTGAAAATTTATGTTTGTGCGAAGAAAATGTCATAGATTAGTCGATTAGGTTATTGATTTTTATTAAACGAATCGTAATTTAATAATTCTCATGTGAATCAATAATAAAAAACAATCATAATATTGATGAGCAGAGCTCAACAAAATTTAAAAAATTAAAATCTAAACTCATATGATTGATAAAGGATACTAAAAGGAAAAGTTTGCATCAAAACTAGACATGTTAATCATTGTAAAGTTGATTATTTAAAAAAAAAACAACAACATATTTTCATGTTATGTGTATGTGATATTAAATTTCTATTGTTATATGTTTGACGTTTGTTAACAGTTATTCATAATAGTATTCGAAATGAATGTGAGAGAGAGAGAGAGAGAGAAAAGTCCTTCATGACAAATTGGGGTGTGGGTGTGGGTGTAAATGAGAGAAAAAACAGAAAACTGGCTGACACTCACACCCATACCCATACCCACACCCACACCCACACCCACACCCACACCCACACCCACACCTCAGACCCACACCCACACCCACCCACACCCACACCCACCTACACTCACACCCACATCCACACCCATCCACACCCACATCCATCCTATTATCCTCTATATTCTTTCATCTCTCTTTGATCTCGTATTCGTTCTTTTCGTTCTTCTCTTTATATATGTATTCATCCATATCGTTATAAAAACAGTTGTTATATTTTCTTGAATAAAAGTAGTCCACGTACATCAAGGACATACGAATACATATATCGCTGTCGAACCACACATAGAG